TACAGACTCCAATAAAAAAAAAAAAATAAAAAAGAAAGCCGCAAATGGCGCTGAACTTTCGGTCTCCTTTGCGGGCCAGTTCTTAAGCACAGTTAAACGCAGCCGCAGCTGTTGTTGTTGTTGTTCTTGCCGCATCCGCCGCCGGTTTGGCCTTGTGCAAAGCCGCTTCTGCTGAGCGCGCAGCAAAGGTAAAGAAAAAGAGAATAACTGTCAGACAAAAGAAATGCAAAAAATACGCACACAAACGCAATGCACTTCTTACAGCGCGTGCGTGTGTGTGTGTGTGGCAATCGAAACAGCCCTTGAGAATTTATTCTCGAATTCCTTTCACACTGTCAGGCTCTTAAAAAACTCACTTTTTTCCCTTTACAGCTGTACACTTGTTATCGAAGCAGAAACATTTTAAAATTATTTGAGATAGAAAAATCAAATATTAAAAATTACATCAAACATGAATAAATCGGATGCAAACACTCGCCAGGGCCACTACAAGGCCAACACTCTTAACATGCAGGTAAGTGAAGGGCGCTCGTTTGAAAATCTGCATATCGGCTTTAACCTCACTTTCGAAATTGTGCCGCGACCGTTTAGGACTCGCGCATGCGTCGCCATGAGGTGACCATCGAGCTGCGCAAGTCAAAGAAGGAGGATCAGTTGTTCAAGCGCCGCAACATCAATGATGAGGACCTAACCTCACCGTTGAAGGAACTCAATGGCCAGTCGCCGGTGCTGCTGTCGGTGGACGAAATCGTCGCTGCCATGAATAGTGAGGATCCGGAACGTCAATTCGTGGGCATGCAGCAGGCACGCAAGATGCTCAGTCGCGAGCGTAATCCACCTATTGATGTGATGATTAGCCATGGCATTGTGCCTATCTGCATTCGCTTCCTTCAGCACAACAAGTAAGTAGACAATGATATGGTAGATGTGTGTGGGAAGACATTGTTCATCTCGATCCCTCTCTGGTTCGGCCAGCCCTCTTTTGCAATTTGAGGCCGCCTGGGCTTTGACCAACATCGCATCGGGCACATCGGATCAGACACGTTGCGTTATCGAAGAGAATGCCGTGCCGCATTTCATAGCACTGCTGCAGTCGAAGTCGCTTAATCTGGCCGAGCAGGCCGTCTGGGCCCTGGGCAACATTGCCGGTGATGGCCCGGCTGCGCGTGACATTGTAATCCAGCACAATGTCATCGATGGCATTTTGCGTTTAATCAATAATGAGACGCCGCTGTCGTTTCTCCGCAACATTGTCTGGCTGATGTCGAATTTGTGCCGCAACAAGAACCCGTCGCCGCCCTTTGACCAGGTGAAGCGCTTGTTGCCAGTGCTGTCCCAGTTGCTGGTCTACCAGGAGGATATACAGGTGCTGGCCGATGCCTGCTGGGCCTTGTCCTATGTGACGGACGATGAAAACAACAAGATACAGGCGGTCGTCGATACGAATGCAGTGCCCCGTCTGGTGCAACTGCTTCAGACTGATGAGCCCAGCATCATTGTGCCGGCACTGAGGAGCGTGGGCAACATTGTCACCGGAACGGATCAGCAGGTCAGTCACGAGTCTGTCGACATGATGGATGGCTTTCAAGTGTTTTTAGCTGTCCTGGCTGTGAGCTTTACTCATTATTTCAATTTTACAATTGCAGACCGATGTGGTTATAGCCGCTGGTGGCTTGCCCAAGCTTGGCATGCTCTTGCAGCACTCCAAGGGCAACATTGTGAAGGAGGCGGCCTGGACCGTGAGCAACATCACGGCTGGCAATCAGAAACAGATTCAGGCTGTCATCGATGCGGGCATCTTTGTGCAAATACGCCATGTGCTCGAGAAAGGCGATTTCAAGGCACAAAAGGAGGCCGCCTGGGCTGTGACCAATACCACCACTTCGGGCACACCCGAGCAGATTGTCGATCTGATCGAGAAGTACAAGATACTGAAGCCATTTATTGACTTGCTCGAGGCCAAAGATCCGCGAACCATCAAAGTGGTTCAGACTGGTTTGTCCAATCTGTTTGCGCTCGCCGAGAAGCTGGGCGGCACCGAGAATCTGTGCCTTATGGTCGAGGAGCTTGGCGGTCTCGACAAACTGGAAGCATTGCAGCAGCATGAGAACGAGGAGGTCTACAAGAAGGCCTATGCCTTAATAGACACATACTTCAGTGCTGGCGACGATGAGGCCGAAAAGGAGCTGGCGCCACAGGAGGTCAATGGCGCACTGGAGTTTAACGCCACACAGCCCAAGGCGCCGGAAGGCGGCTATACCTTCTAAAAAACATTTTTAACATAAGTGCCAGCCATCAGCATTCACATACATACGTACACACACACACACACTCCAACTTTCCCACTCGTCCGTAACATCATCACACAGGCTAGTAGCATAGTCCTCACGCATACGACTTCTTGTTATGCGACCGCGCCACACAATATTAGAAAGAAATCACACAGTCTTAGAAAGTAAAGCACACGATCTTCGGAAGATATCACACAACATGTCCACAACACACTCCTATAAGTTTGTCACTCCAGAATCACATCGAACTTACAACAACGTTAACAAACAACAACAAAACGGGCTGTAGGTCGGCAGAGGCAAACCCTTGTCTGCATCCGTGCCTCTGCCGCCTCTCCACACACATTTATTGTTGTTTGTTGTGCATTTCCGCATTGTCCCGCATGCGGCCATGAAAACGCATCTTAGGCGCGTTCTTAGTTTTTTCCCTATTTATCGCCTGTCAGCAGTACCACACACTAAATCATACACATTCGTACGCGTTCAAGCATCTGAGGACCTGCCTAGCTGTGCTTGGCAGGTGTGGATGACTCAGAACTTTTGAATTGTCCTCGCACACAGACACACACACACACACACACACACACAATGTATACACAAAGTCAGAACGCTGCCTCCTGCGTTTGCATGGCCAATTGATTTGTTTGGAGTGTGCTAGTTTCGCCACACACACACACACACACGATATAAGTTTTTCGGATTATTATATATTTAGGCTGTTAGTATATTTATTTATTAWCGTATTTTGTGAACAAAAAATGAACCCATACACTACAATTATGCACGCACAACACACACACTTTAACCATTTCATGCAAACAACGCAACAACAATATGTGTCCTCATCCTTTTATTAATGTTATACAAAGCGAAATATAATTGCCATGAATGCAAAAAAAAAAAAAAAAATGATAAATATGTGAATTTAGATTTTTAAAACATTCGATTTTAAATATGCTTAAAAAAATAATGTGGAAACTGAGAGAAGGGAGAGAGATATCTAGTATTTAAGATAATAGCAAGCAATTAAAGCTGCTTGGATAGTATATGATGTCGCCATATCTTTACTCCGGAGCATAGCGACCCAAATGCGTTAGATTAGATTAGTTGATTAAACAATAGAACTGTGAAAACAAAGCGCAAGCTGCATGACACAATTCAATCAGGCGTCGCATCGCTTGGCGTGCAGCATCCCAATCAGCGGCAATTCGAGTGGTTCCAGCGCCAAAGCCAACTGCAACAACAACTACAACAACAATAATGCCCCCTCTGGGGTCTGTTGGCTAACAGTTCGTTTGAATGGAATACGCGAACGCGGACAGCGAAATTATAAAAATAGATTCGAATTTTGTAGCGCTCGGGCGGGCCAAAGTAGTTGCAGAAAATTCGAAACTTAGCCAGAGCTTTCCGATCCGCCGTCGCGTCGCATCGTTGTTGATGTTATCGTTGTCCAAGTGTCGTCATCAATGAAGAGCGTCGGCCCAATTTAATTAGAGACTCTTTCAAATCATTTTCGTGTTCCGCCGCTCTGGCCGAGCGCGTTTAGTTCGATTCTGTGCGAAGCTGCGTGCGGGCGTCAATTTTTGTTTTTGTTTTTCATTTAACATTTTATTCTTAGTGCTCCCGAGCGATAGAGAATCGTATCTTATTTGAAAATACACTAAAAGTGCGCTGCCAAGTGAAGCGATAATATATTAGGTATATCCAATTGGATGTTTTATGCCGGAAGTGTTTTATGTGTTTACAAATGATATTTAATATAATGTGTATAATGCGAATATATTTTACATATGTAAATTTTATATTGAATTACATTCATCGAAATATGGAATAAAAATATATAATACAAAA